ATAATGTCTGATTCACTCTACTATTCTTCCTACCCCATTCCCCTCTCCTCCCTTCACTCCCCTCCATCTAATACAAAGTAACTTTATTCTTCCCTAGCCACCCCGCTTATTGTGAATTAGCCTCCATGTATCAGAAAGAACATTCAGCCTTTGGTTTTTTTGGGATTAGCTTATTTCACTTAACATGATATTCTCTATCTCTATCCATTCACTGGCAAATGCCATAATTTCATCCTTCTTTAAGACTGAGTAATATTCTTTATCCATTTATCTGTTAGGTTGGTTTTATAGTTTAGCTATTGTGAGTTGTTGTGGCTGCATCACTGTAGTATGCTGATTTTAAGTTCTGAACATTCTATCATATGGATGTACCACATTTATCCAATTGATTGACATTTGTTTCCACTTTTTTAAATTTACTATTATGAATGTTGCTGCTAATGCGTATTTGTGTACAAGTTTTTGTTTGAACACCTGTTATCATTTCTTTTGGGTATGTATCTAGTAGTAGATTTGTTGATTCATATGATTACTTTCTATTTAGCCTTTTTAGATGGCTAAACATTCCCACCAGCAATGTATGAGAGTTCTAATTCCTCTATAACCTCAACAGTGCTTATTATTGTCTGTCTTTTGGACTGCAGTCATCCTAGTGGGTGTGAAATTGTATATTATTGTGTTTTGATTTGCATTTTCTTAAGGGCTGGTGAAGCTGAGCATATTTTCATATGATTGTTGGCTTATTTGTGTATCTTCTTTGGAGAAATACCTGGTCAGTTCCTTTAATTATGTTTAAATTGAGTTATTGCCTTATTGTTATGGAACAGTAAGAGTTCTTTATATATCTACTTAGAAATCTCTTCTCAACTGTATTATTTGCAAAATCTTCTATTCTCTAGGTAGTCGTTTCACTTTCTTAATAGCCTCCTTTGAAGCACAATAGGTTTTAATTTATTTTAATTTTGATGATGTCCACTTTTTTCTTTTGTTGTATGTTCTTTTTGGAGGGAGAGGTACTGGGAATTGAAAGGGACACTCAACTACTGAGCCACACCCCCAGCCCTATTTTGTATTTTTTATTTAAAGACAGGGTCTCACAGAGTTGCTTAGCAACTGGCTTTTGCTGAGGCTGGCTTTGAACTTGGGATCATCCCATCTCAGCCTCCTAAACTGCTGCGATTACAGGCATGTGCCAATGTACCCAACTCTTTTATTATATGTTCTTTAGGTATATCTAAGAAACCATTGCTTCGCCCAAGATTTATATCTTTTTTTCCCTGATAATTTTGTAGTTTGAGCTCTTACATTTGAATCTTTGACTCAGGTTGAGTTAATTTTTTTTTTTTTTTTTTTTTTAGAGTTTTGCTCTGTTGCTTAGGCTGATCTTGAACTCCTGGGCTCAAATGATCCTCTTACCTCAGACTCCTGAGTCTGGGACTATAGGCATGCACCACTGTGACTAGCTTAGTTAATTTTTGTATAATGTAAGAGTTAGAGGTCCAACTTTGTTCCTTTTGCAGTGGATATTTAGTTGTCCCAGAACAATTTATTGAAAAAACTATTCTTTCTCCATTGAATTGTCTTAGCATTCTGGCCTATAATTGAACATAGTTTAATGGTTTATTTCTGGATTCTCTATTTTTTCTTTTAACTGTACATCTATACTTATGTTAGTAACATATTGCATTGAGTGGTATAGTTTTATGGCAAATTTTAAAATCAAAAAGTATGAGTTCTCTAAATCTGTTTTTCTGTCTCAAAATTGTTTTGGCTACCTGGGCATGGTGGCACATGCTTATAATCCCAGTACCTGGGAGGCTGGGGCAGGAGGCTTGCAAGTTTGAAGCCAGCCTCAGCAACTTAGTGAGGCTCTAAGCAACTTGGAGTGATCCTGTCTCAAAATAAAAAACAATTATTATAATAAAAAGATCTGGGCAGTCCCCAAAAGTCAAATGTTAAATGTTTTTTCTGAAATGCAGAAGCTAATCCAAAATTGGGAGGGGGTGTAAAAAATAGATCAGTGGAGTGGATAAATGGGGAGGGAAGAGGAATGGGATAAGGAAAGAACAGTGGGATGACTCTGACCTATTTTCCTATGTACATATATGAGTAAACCACAGTGAATCTCAGCATCATGTATATCCACAAGACATTAATTTTTTAAAAAAATATTTAAGTAAATAGCAGAAAGATCAGTAGATTAGAAGGAAAGGAATGCTGGGGGAGGAAACGAGAAGTACTGGGGACTGAATTATAACAAATTATATTCCAAAGTTTTATAATTTTGTCAAAATGAATCCTAATGTTATGTATAACTAAAAAGAACTGATAAGGGCTGGGGTTGTGGCTCAGTGGCAAAGCGCTTACCTAGCATGTGTGAGGCTCTGGGTTTGATCCTCAGCACCACATAAAAATTAACAAATAAGGGCTGGGGTTGTGGCTCAGCGGTAGAGCACTCGCCTAGCACGTGCAAGGCCCTGGGTTCAATTCTCAGCACCACATAAAAATAAGTAAACAAAATAAAGGTATTATATCCAACTACAACTAAAAAATAAATATTTTTTTCTTAAAAATTAACAAATAAAGGCTGGGGATGTGGCTCAAGCGGTAGCGCGCTTGCCTGGCATGCGTGCGGCCCGGGTTCGATCCTCAGCACCACATACAAACAAAGATGTTGTGTCCGCCGAAAACTAAAAATAAATAAATATATTAAAAAAAAATTAACAAATAAAATAAAGACATTCTGTCCATTTACAAATACAAAAAAATAAATAAATAAAAATAAAATAACTGATAAAAAGAAAAAAAGAAGAAGAAAGGCCTGGGGATGTGGCTCCGAGGTTAAGCACCTCTGTGTTTAATCCCTGGTACTAAAAAATTGTTTTGGCTACTTTGAGTCCCTTGAATTTCCAGAGCAATTTTAGGATCAGCTTGCAAATTTCTTCAGAAAAGCCAAATGGGATTTTGATAGGGACTGCATTGAATATTTAGAGCAATTTGAGGATAATTGCCATCTTAATCATATTAAATCTTCCAATTCATGAACATGGGCTGTCTTTCCATCCTGTCTTCTTTAATTTTTTAACAATGTTGTATAGTTGTCAGAGTGTAAGTTTTACGCTTCTTTTGAAAAATTTATTCTTAAGTATTTGATTATTTTTAATAAAATCTTAAGTGGAATTCTCTTAATTTTTTTTTTTTGGTTTGTCTATTGCTACTGTGTACAAATACAACTGATTTTTATATGTTGATCTTGGCCTTACAAACTTGCTGAACTCTTTCATTAGTTCTCGCAGATTTTCAGTGGATTCCTTAGGGTTTTCTATATACCAGAACATGTCACCTGCAAATAGAGATAGTTTTACATCTTTTTTTCCAATCTGGAAATCTTAAATTTCATTTTCTTGTCTAATTGCCCTGATTAACATCACTGGTACAATGTTGACTATAAGTGGTGAGAGAAGAATCCTTGTCTTGTTCCTGATCTTAGGAACAGGAGGAGAGCAGTCAGTGTTTCACCATTAAGTACAATGTTAGCTGTAGGCTTTTGTTTGTTTTTGGTTTTGGTGCTGGGGATTGAACACAGGGCTTTGCATGCTAATCCTACACTCTACCACGGAACTGTACCCTATCCCCTAGTTGTGGGGTTTTTGTACATATCCTATATCAGGCTAAGGAAGCTTCCTTCTCTTCCTGGTTTTTCAAGTGTTTTTATCATGAAGGCTGTTGAATTTTGTCAAATGTTTTTTTCTGTGTCTGTTGAGATGATCGTGTGGTTTTTGTCCTGTTAATAGGATATATTGCATTAGATGAATCTTGACTGTAATTTGTTTTTACCTTTTAATTCGACTTCCCATTCCTTGTTCTTTAGCAATCAGAGGACCCTGGAGGAATGCACTAAGTGACCTCTGCAATGGATGCAATACAGGGCTTAGATGTTGATGTTGGTTCTGTGTAAAAACTTCAATTTCAGGACTTTGTACCTCATCAAAAGTCCTAGCGATGCTTATTTAGGATTTTTTTTTTATTTGGTATTATTGAATGGTATAAATGTAAAACAAATTTTTGGGTGTTCTTATGTAACTCAACCTTATAAGTTCATGACGCTATTTTGACAGTATATATGGTACAGTTTCGTATCATAGGCACAAATTTTGGAGGCCCAAATTTAACTATATTATTTATATTCTTTTTAGAAATGATGAACATTGTGTGCAGGATGAAGTGTGTAGCTACTATTTCTGGCAATTGCAATTATTATCAATGTATTTTGCCTTTGAAAATGTGTATGTCCCCCTCTTTCTTCCTTCAACATACCATGATTTGTTTCACAGTATGTATTTTCATCATGTCCCTATTTTATAATGTATGTTCACATTAATTGCAGTTTCTTTCTCTTGAACACATTTTTCTTTTCCATGTGGGTTCCTTCCCTCAGTTGCACTGTCATTTTCATTGATGATGCATCTGTTAATTAATATTTCTTCTTTGAATGCCTGCCCTTTTGTTCTTGATTTTGCAGTTCAGCTCTATTTTTTTTTAAATTTTAGCTCTAATTGTGATATTTCTTTTCTGGCTTCTATTGCTCTGTGACCTTCTGTGACTTATTTGTAATATTTATATTTTTATGAAATTGACAACCCATTCTCTGCCATCAGTGACAATTAACACATAAATGTATCTTTAAAATGGTTTAGAAAAAGTAGCTATTTTTGTGGTTAGTATATGCATCACCTTTCTAAATTCGTAGTAAGGCCTTGGATTCCTAGAACATGTCACTTATAGGCAAACATAAAATTTTAGTTAGTCTTTATTATGGCAAAATATACATAATATAAAATTCACCATACACAACTATTGCTAAGTGTGTAGTTCTGTGGTATTAAGTACATTCACATTGTTCTGCAACTATGAAATTTTTAAAGTGAAAAAATTCATTTCTTTTGATTTCCCCCTTTTTACCTCTTTTTTTCTGTTGACTGCCTTTCCTTTTCTTTTAGATGCTGAAGATTTCCTGGCAGAAGGCTTGAGAAATGAGAACCTCAGTGCTGGTGCAAGGGAGTGCAGAGACCATATTCTACGGGGCTTTCAGCAAATCAAAGCTAGGTTTGTAAAAATCAGTTCCATTATGCTTCCTTGAAAGCTTTGAAACAATTTATTACTAGTAAACTCTAATAGTGTGTAAATTAACAAAGTGAAATACACTGGTGATAGTCCTTTATCTGGCAGAAGCTTAATATTTACTTAAATTGAATTTGAGACAGACAAGCATATGGTACTTTACCAAATAAAAATATTTTAATAATTATGTATTTAAGATGATTACTCTGCTTTTAGCTTTGGAATTTTACGTTGGCTTTTATTGAACACTCTATGCTTAACAGGAAAGAAAGACAGGGAAAGCTAAGCATTTATTCTGGTCCAAATTACTAAAGGGAAGGTGTTAGGCAACGTGGGGTAATTTTCAGTGTATTTTTGTTACCGATTTTACTTTGACATCTTCTTCTCTAATGAAAACTTAAGGCAGATTTGTCCAGTTGATTCTTTGACCATGTTGGAATGTTTCCGTTCCAGACTGGGTTGAAATATCATACTTATTAAGTTTTTAAAATAAGAGGTCTTGATCTAATTTGTGCACCTTAGAATGTGAGCCCCTGAAGGTGTATGCACTTACTAGAGGGGAAATAAAAATTTTCTTTCACAAAATATTTTTCAACTACCTTTTGCTTGAACTGTGGCCACTGAACAAGAGTTGGGGATGAGTGTTACTTTGGCTTTTTCCAACCCGAGGTGGTATGATTCAGAATGTTCAAACTGGGAACTCTTTGAGAGCATCTGCAGGGTTATGGCTGGGATTTAATTTGTGCGGCCACCCGTTCTTAGTTTCTACTTTTAAAACCTCATTGCAACTCCTTAGAAGCAGGGAATTTTATCCTTTGGAAGGGCACAGCCAGAGTCTATTCCCTCCAGGAATGTGAGAGAACCTCACGAGATGCCCTGCTGGATCTTAATCGATCTTTCCTGCTGGCTAATTAAGCATCACTTTTACTCAGCAACTGGGGACTGTGTAATTATCAGCCTGGGTTGCCCTGAATAATTGAAACAAACAGAATGCAGAAGACGGGAGTTTTTTTGCAAAAGTGGGAAATATCTGTAATTTCTTGGTAGACTGAAAGGGCGTTGAAAACAAACTTCTGTACAATGTTACTTCACTAGTAGACAGTTTAGGCTTAGTTAGTAACCCACATGGAGGCTTAGTTAGTAACCCACAGAATTTTTTATTTTCACAAATTTGTGTTTGTATTATATAGGATTACTGTAAGTATAGTATGAGGAGTAAAAGAATTATTTTAAATTGTATTACAGGGAGGGGGATTTATACTAGTAGAACCCCCCATATCTACCTAAATATATTTAAGGATAAGGGATGTAAAAACAATTTTGCTGCAGCTATAAGGACAAATGAACAATGAGGAGGAATTCTTCTTTCCCATATTGGGAAAAGTCTAAATTTTAACCTTAACTGTGTAATAAAAGGCAAATTTGTTATCATTCATTACTGTTGGTTGCATATTACTCCTTGATGTGTGTGTGCAGCACTGGTGGTTGAACATGGGGCTTTATGCACGCTAGGCAAGTGCTCTACCACGGAGCTATGATCCCAGCTCTGAATATTACTTCTTATCCTCTTTTGAAATGCATACACACATGTGCATATGCACAGACACATAGAAACCTTATTTCTCATGGAGTAGAGAAGCTTCCTTGTGCTTAAACAGTGTCTGGCGTGGTTTGTGGGGTAGACACTCAGGAAATAATCAGCAGGAGCTTTAGGAAACATCTGCATTGTTGATGAGAGCTTTCTGTTCATTGATTTGTTGCAAGAAAGATGACACTTTATTTAGAATTTCATAATTATCAGATCACTGAGGAAATGAGGAGCCAGAAATTAAACTGTGCAAGAAAATGGAAAGAGGCGGCTTTCCTTTGGCAAGCTATTTGAAATAGCCTTACCTCTACCCCTTCGTTATTATCATCATTAGTGTAACCCTTGCTTAACCAAATCCTCTTCTTTATTTATGGCTGGTTAACATGATGCACTTTCATGTATTAATTCCAGTTGTTTTGAAAATACTGAAATCTTGCAAAATATTGGTCATATTATTTTATGTGGCAATTATATATATATCTCCCCAAAAGCTGGGTGTGAGAGAAATTTGGAAGCCATCAAATTTGAGAACTAATTATCTATGATAAATGGTGAGCAACATGGAAAAAAATTTCAAAGTCATTTAAAAAGTTTCATTTTTAATCATATTAAAACAACAGCATGTTAGGGGGTTGGTAAATTTTGAGGGTAAGAAGCTATCTAAAACTATAATTTGTTACTCCAGTGTTTATTTGGAAGGTTGGTAGAAATTTCCTAGCACAATAATCTTGGAAAGCTACTAGATAAATATAAATACTGCATATATTTACAACTTTGTTTTCTTACTTCAGTCCTTTAATTCTTTCTTCAACACTGTATTGCTGGGGAGTGGAAAATGGTGAAGAGAAGTAACAATAGCACTGCCTCTGATTCTTAGTAAATTTTGGGGCTTGGCCCTATTTTTTATGGCTGGCTCAGAATTCAGTGGTGTTTGCCATGGTTGTGGACCTGCTGTAAATTGAAGTGTCTGATGTCATCGCTGCTATTATAATATGCCATTTGCCACCTTTCTGTTGTCTAGGGTGACTGACAGGAGGAAATAATGATTGTGTCAAGAGTCACAGGTGTTCTCCAAATTCTCATTTGTTTTTTCAGTACAAGTAGCTTACCCATTCTCTTTCTTCCTAGGCTTAATGACAAAAAATAAAATAATATGGAATCTGTGTCTAGAGCTACATCCTCCCTCCCCCACCCCTAATTTGAAAGTATTTCCAAGGAAGGATAATGTTTTCAATATAAGACAAAACAAAAATGAATGGCAATTTCTGTGATTCCAAGAAAGTGAAACCCTGTTGTGGTATTTGATGTCCTGAGCTGTGATTTTCGTTGCTAGTCTTCAAATTGTTTTCTCACTTAAACCTTCTCCCTAAACAAAACAAAACAAAATTAACAGGGATGGAGTTGTGGCTCAGTGGTAGAGCACTTGCCTGGCATGTGTGAGGCCCTGGGTTCAATCCTCAGCACCACATATAAATAAATAAATAAAAGATCCATTTACAACTAAAAAATATTAAAAAACAAAAACAAGCAAAAAAACTAACAACTTTCACATTCCGAGTCCAGGTTTTCACTGAGCTCTTTAGAAAATGCTTGGGATGAAAGCAGACAAAGACTCCTCCTGCTTTATGATGGTGGTCACTGCAGGATCAGCTCCAGATGTGAGACACCTGGCACAGAGCAGGCATGATCTACACCCAGAAACCTGACGACGTTCTCACTCGCTTGGAGAAACAGTAGAGTGTTTCTTAAATGTTTGATCCAGTAGAGGCTGCCTGACAGCAATAATGCATTGAGAGTGGGGGAAGGGATGAAGAATATAGAATATTTTTATTATGGAGGTAGGGATAAATTCTCTCTTGATGGCCCTTTTTGGCACAACGAGTCATTTGTACTCCCTGTTGGAAGTCAAGGCCTGAGCCAATGGAAACAAACTTGGTGTATTGTTTCCTTCTGTGAAACTTAATAATGCTAAGGAGTTCCAAAAAGAGACAAGTAGATTTATAGGATACTGAAATGGAAAAAAAGAAAATAAAGAAATAACTTCGTGTAGCAGGGATTATGGCACAAACCCCAGGATATTTAAAGTACAAGCAGAAAGAGTATCTTGAACGTGTCTCATCGTAGGTGACTTGGCTGTTGCTCTGCATGAAACACGATATGCTAGTTCAAATCTCATGAAAAGAATGCTGACTTTGGGGATTTTAGTTTTATTTTCTGCTTAACATGGAGTTAGTTTTTAAAACTAGATTTAACCTTAATAATGGATATATAAACTGATATCTTCGCATTACAGATAGACAAGAAGTTAGTCTGGTAAAACTTGGGAGGAAGAGTTTTAAAGTAGCATACTGTAAATCTCATATTGTTAATTACATAGAATTTTACTTTTCATAACTGCTGGTTATTGAGCTTAAAAACTCCCAGAACAAAACATATTCAAATGAAGCATGCTCATTAAGAGAACGAATATTTTATATGCTAATGTGCTATTGGTACATTTGTGTTACTCATAAGTTTAAAGATTCGCTCATAACATCTCTTTCTGTTCTTTAATTTTGTTATTTATCCTGGAGTTTCAGTGCCAATGCAGAAAAAAAAAGAGTAGGAGATACTTGCATGATGATTCATCTAAGTTTAAATAGCTCTGAAAGACTTAAAAGTCATAGCAATAATTGTAGTACTTCTTGAAGGTTAATATTCATTTTTTTCTTTTTTTGCTTTATTCCTCCCTCTTACCCTTAAAAAAAATTAAAGAAGGACTGGGGACATAACTCAGTGGTAGAGTGCTTGCCTCAAATGTATGAGTCTGTGAGTTAAATGCCAAATCTCTGTACTAGTTTTCTGTTATTCAGTGAGTGTATGTAGAGATTTCACAATTGTATTAAATGTTTTTGGACTCTACTTCTTTAGGAATGAGGGTTACATTTCATTGCTCTTATAGTCTAAAATATTCTACAGGTGAGACTTATACAATATTACCTGTTGCTGGTTTTTTGGCTTCACTTTAGGATCTGAAAAGAAAGATTATCTGATTATGTGTTTTTCTAAGTTTCTGTCCTTTCAAAGCAGCCTCGAAATGTGCAATTCTCCCTTTCATTTTATGATGATGATGATTTTTTTTTCACTTGTGGGGGTATTTTGGGTTTGGTACCAAGATTAAATTGTTCCATTTTCTTTTACATTGGGCTATGTGGTGGTATTAGTAGGTGGAAACTTCTCCCTCTGGCATCCTATAAAATAAATATTTTGTGTAAGTAACTCTGACATGTAATAATATTTCATATTTTTCATGCTAAGTAACAGGTGGATTTTTAAAAAAGTTTGGATGAAAAAATTTATTCCTTTCAAAACTTTTTATTGAAAAAGCAAGAAAAAAAATCTCAGATAATAATTTTTC